TTACTTACTTATTTATTTACATACCTACTTACTTACTTACTTACTTACTTACTTTTTACTTACTAAGGAAAAAGAGGAAAATATCTTGAAAAATCTGATGCAGGACCTGAAATCATCCTTCAGTTGATCATCTACTGAAACACATACAGTCTGATAAAAATATTCAAAGACATGTATGATATATGTAAAAACATAACATATGCTAAACGTATAGGTCTAACAGTTTTTTAAATATACCAAAGTATAAAATATTTAGAGATTAAAGGCATAATCCAGTGATTGTTTAATAATCTGATAAATAGTTGGTGCAAAATCATTATTTTGTTTTGTAATCAAATTATGACAAAGAGCCATAAGATGCTATTTAAAACTGTTTTTTTTCTTTTTTCATACAACAGTTTCATTCTTCTTCATGTCTGAATGAATCACAGAGCAAAGTTACTTGACTTAACTAAAGAAATCCAAAACATTTTACTTAAAATTTTTTGATTTTGCACTGAAAACAAGTGAAAAAACAGCCAAGGATTTGTAAAAGCTTTTTAAAACAATTCAGAAATGTTATTTTAATGGGTTACAAGAAGCAGAATCTAAAGAAATGGGATGTTGGGGGTTCAGACCAGCTTTATTTGGCACATTTAAAAACTAAAGCAGTTCTTTTGATAAAGCTGTCGTCTAAACTCTTAATTCTAATAGTTCAGGTAAAACATGAATCCTTCCTTTGAACCATTTGGTCCTCATTTCAAGGGTGAGTTCAGCCTGATGATGAAATGAAAGCCAGTTGCTGACATGCACGGAGGCGTGCAGTTCTTTGCCTCGTTCTGCTCGGAGAAGCATAAATCAGCGGGGTCACGGCAGCAGATGTCTGAGGAGCTCTACGTGTGGAGGGAAATGCCTCTCTGTAGTTTGAACGCACCGACCCATAAATGTGGTTTGACACTTGATATYTGACAAAAAACTGAAAGGACAAAGTTCAGCAGGACGATCAGCGGTGGGTTAAAGTGGRACTGGTTTTATCATTTAGAGAAGCATCATGATCCATTCTGTGTTTGAGTCCATACATCTGATCTATTTATGTTGCTTTTTGTGGCTGACTCTTCTTTTACTGTCGTCATTTTTTACGTTTGTCTTTGCTTTTATTTGTCATTTATTATTTTGGTCACTTTTGAGTTACATTATGCTTTTTTTGTTTGTTTGTTTTTTTGCTGTTTAATCAGTGGCTCGCACCACTCTGGCAGTCCCCTGGCCCGCGGTGCCAGGTACTGTGTGTCCGCCGACGCCTCCAAGGTGTACACCATCCCCCAGGCCAGCGGCTCGGGGCCGGAGCTGGGGCCCGGGCCCAGCTCGGGGGCCTGCGGACAGACACAAACACAGTCCGGTTGCATGTTCGCCGCGGGCGTGAAGACGACCGATGGTGGCGACGGCTCTGATGGACCCCCCAACATTTCAGAGTGTGGGTGAGTGAGTGAACATGTGAGGGAGAAAAGACCAGGAAAAAACCTTCAAATCAAAACTAAACACTTATTTTATTTATATTATATGGAATTCTTATTAAACRTAGCACAAAAARTAAGGAAATGAGGGTTTGGTAGATCATTTCTTTGTTGTTGCACCTGAATGGCAGCACATTRTGGGGTGGGGGGACTAAAGAAAATTTGGCAACTTTTTCATGTGCACAATCCACAAACTAAGCTCTACTGCTCATCCCACAAATGCATGATCCTTACAAATGTGGCGYCATTTAAAAGGGAAATTAACAGGCTTTATTGCCTAGAAGCAAAGAAATAATCCACCAAACATACATTTCTTTACTTTTTGTGCTAAGTTTAAATAACCAGATGTCTCTCCTTCATATATKTTCTTAAAAGGACACAAATTTCCACCTTAGTAGCACCTTTATTTTCTAAAACTAATCCAATAATCATCTACAGATTTAAAATGACTTAACCTATTAATACTGTTAATTATTAGCAGGAATGTTCCGATCAAGAATCGCGTTTTAGAAATTGATCTGAGCTCAACGTCAGCTGCTTCAGACAAGTATGGGTCTCTGCAGTACATAGGGGGAGGTTTTTGTCTGTGTGGGCGGAGATTGGTCAACTGTGATTGGCAGAGTTTGAAATATAGGTGGAGATTCTTGGGTGTGGGCGGAGTTTGGTCAATTGTGATTGGCGGTTTGAAATATAGATGGAGATTCTTGGGTGTGGGCGGAGTTTGGTCAGTTGTGATTGGCAGAGTTTGAAATATAGGCGGAGATTCTTGGGTGTGGGCGGAGTTTGGTCAATTGTCATTGGCAGTTTGAAATATAGGCGGAGATTCTTGGGTGTGGGCGGAGTTTGGTGAAATGTGATTGGCAGAGTTTGAAATATAGGTGATTATTGGGTGTGGGTGGAGTTTGGTCAAATATGATTGACAGTTTGAAATATAGGTGATTATTGGGTGTGGGTGGAGTTTGGTCAACTGTATATGGCAGAGTTTGAAATGTAGGCGGAGATTCTTGGGTGTGGGCGGAGTTTGTTCAACTGTAACTGATCGCATTGGGTTGTCTTAAAAAATGAAAAGCATATTTATTCTGTTGTATCCAAACAGGTGTCGTCCCAAAAAACAGCATCTCAGATCCGTGCTTCAATCTGTAATTTGAATAACAGTTATCTTAAAACTGTGCTCCAATATGTCCTCCTAATATTCCCGTTCACTTGCCAGGTGCAGGCCGGTGTTTGAAGCCACTCACCTGTGTTGCACACTAACACCAGGTGTGAGCAGAGCTCCTATTGTTTAGCCCACCCAGACTTTACAAACCGGCATTGATCGGAGCCGACAGCCACAGAACAAATAAGCTCAATGAAGCCGCTGACATAATACACTTGACACATGTCACATGTCGTTATCGATCGTTCGTCTGAAGCCGGGTCCCCGTGGAGCGCCGGGCCGAGCCCCTGACAGGTCGGTGCCTCTGCTGGGAGCGAAGCAACGATCCACAGTGCAGCAGCACCGTCCACAGTGTGGARATGTCACCCAGGACGGGAGGTGTATGCAGGGAGTTAGCAAAGCTTGAGCTGTGATGACTGACATGGTCTCTGTTAATGAAGCAACTCTGCAGAGAGCTGTAAAAAGATATACATGCTCATTGGAAGGTGTTTAAAACAACTCTGAGCTGGTTCCGATTGAGAGAATGTGAGATKTGCTCCAGAAGAAACCCCCGGCTTCAGTTTCYGAGTAATTTAATTTTTCTGCRGAGATTTGCTGCGTGATTGATCGTACGCACCGAAGTCGTCGTCTGCACACTTATGAAAAAGCTCCATAATTTCATTAAGCCTCCCCGTTGTTTGTTTATATATTCCTACCGTTTTATTTCACCTTACATAAGGGCGCCTCGTGATAAATGGCCTAATATTCACAGTTATTGTTCTAAGGTAATGAAGTTTCTCTTCCCTCTTTCTGAAAAAAAAAAAAACTTTCCTGAAACTCTGCATGTAAAATGTTGGACGCACTGCGATGCTTCTAACCCTGAGCTTCTGTTTTTTTGTTTCTTGCTTCTTGTTTCAGAGGAGCCGAGAGCTTGTTAGCCTTTCTTCTCAATATGCTGTCTGAGCGTTCCAGGTACACTGTAAAGAGTCAATCCCATGGCCCTAATCTGACCCAGCCTGCCCCCCCACCCCACCCCACCCTCAATGCACTCACCCCTTCCCTTTTGTCCAACACCCGACTCAAATGTCATGTCAAGTGTTATTCCTGGCAACATGTCGCGCATTCAAGAGCCAACCAACTGTGCATATCTGTGACATTTCTTCTAACAAACCTTATTGCAGCAGCTCTAACTCCTGCTCCCAATGTAACCAGACCTTTTTTTTCCACATAGTTTTCTTGTGTTCTGTAAGGTTACAGTGAAACCTCAGAGCCAGACGCTGGAACACGGCAGGCGTGGATTTCCCAAGGATTCGGTGACGATAAAACCATTGAAGTGGTTCATGATGAGGACATTTTATTTACTTGTCAGCAACCACAAACAAAATGTAGGAATGCAACATCRACTTAGTTATAATCATTCATCACAGAGTTCAAAAGCACTAGACTGAGCCAACCTGAGAAGCTAATGCTAACCGGTTCATTTATTTTAGTTATTTATTTGCACAGGGTTACAAAAAAATATATATATATGCTACATACAGTACATACATAGATAAGTGCTTCCCTTCTTTATGCTTAAGTTTGGACCCTTGTCTCTCCTAATCACCTGTATCTACAGCCTCCTCTGGTCTGGATTTGTTGGGAACGAATGGAAAGAAAGGCAAGGCTGTTATTTGGCACCACAGAAACAACCAAGGAAAGCACAAAAGCTTTTGTTTTTATGACTGAGGCATATTTACCGACTAATGCTAACGCAACCGGAAGTAGCACAACGCTACTTCCTGTTTAAAATGTAGAAGTGTGAAAAAGGTCTATTGTTCGCTACCAACATGTAAACCATAGTGCTAAATCCAGACACTTCTGGTTACAGTATACAGTATACAGTATACATATATATATAAAACTCCATGATGCCCACTTAGTGCTGCATAGATCAAGTAAATACTATATTAATTTGTGCATTAGTGCATTCAGGCTCAGAGGCATAAATAAAAACTATCTGCATTAATGCACTTAAATTATAGAATGCTTTTATATTCTGCCGTCTCTACAGAGCAGCTGTTTTGACATTTGTAAGATTACTTTATTTTTTCAGGGCTTGGTTGCCATGGTGTTAAAAGCCTAAAAGAGTAGGTAATAGTGTCTCTAGGTAACCATCGCAGACAGGCTGTCCCATCGTCTAGCTGTCTTAACGAACGTCCCCACGGCCATCTAACGCCCTTCCAGCAGCACTCAGTGTGCCACGCTCAGGCTGCTCGCTTAAAGCCCAGGTTTCACAGCGACGCGACTTCACCGGAGAGGTCGGTCATATCGTTTGTGCCCCGTGCCCTCCTCGCCGAACACTCAAGAGTCGTTTGTTTTCAAACAAAAACCTGTTGACAACCAGAGCCGAGGAGTTGTGTCACTTCTTGTGGATCCTCCTCCAGTCCCTGTTGAACAGCTTTCATGTCTTCCTCTGTTGTTGTGTGAGCACGCCTTTGGTCTGTGACAGTCTTTGCTCAAAATTCTCGTTTTTTCTGTGTTTTCTTTCCTCCACCCCTCACTGTGCTTGGCTGCACTCATTGCAGTCTCTTTATTCATGGTTTTGGCACAGTAATGTGGGACAAGGTGGCTTTGAAATTGAACTCCCTGCCTGTTTTCCTCCCCATCCCTGCCACCCCTCTTGTCTGACAAGTTTGGAGTAAGCCCTCTCCTGATCTTGGCATGCTAACACAGATCCCCCTCTTGAACTCTGCATTATTTTGACAATATTCTCAGGTGGCCGGTGCCTCCGTTTCAGGACGTGATGTGATTGACCCTAGAAATGATCTGTGGTCTTCTGTGTCCGTTACACTGTTCGCAGGCAGCTGTATGCCCAAGAGGCTGCCTGCCGGCTCCAGGTTGCTGACCGAGATGGAAAGTCACTGCAGCGACTTTCAAAAGAAGAATTTCGTAAGATGATGCTGCCCGACAGCCCACCGAGAGAAGACAGGAATCGGAAGGTAAGGTCAAGGATGATTCTAATTCTGACAATGTGGGCGTTACTTATGGTGTACCACAAGGTTTAATCCTTGGTCCATTTTATTTGATCTGTGTTTCCATATTTAGATAGAAACTTTATTAATCCCAGGGGAAAATCCAAGGCAACCAGTAGCATTTATTTATTGCACAAGGTCAATAAAGATTAATAAGGAGAAATAAAAACGAATAATACAAAGAATATGAAAAATAAAAAAGCAAAATACACAAAAAATGGAAAAATGAACAAATACACTCACCGGCCACTTTATTAGGTACACCACGCTAGTAATGGTTTTGTGGTCATAAAGGGATGGACATGGTCAGCAACAATACTCAGGTAGGCTGTGGCGTTGCAACGATGCTCAATTGGTACCAAGGGGCCCAAAGAGTGCCAAGAAAAGATTCCCCACACCATGACACCACCACCACCAGCCTGAACCGTTGATACAAGGCAGGATGGATCCATGCTTTCATGTTGTTGACGCCAAATTCTGACCCTACCATCCGAATGTCGCAGCAGAAATCGAGACTCATCAGACCAGATTTCCGACCATCAGACCATCAGAACGTTTTTCCAATCTTCTCTTGTCCAATTTCGATGAGCTTGTGCAAACTGTAGCCTCAGTTTCCTGTTCTTAGCTGAAAGGAGTGGCACCCGGTGTGGTCTTCTGCTGCTGAAGCCCATCTGCCTCAAAGTTCGACGTACTGTGCGTTCAGAGATGCTCTTCTGCCTACCTTGGTTGTAACGGGTGGTTATTTGAGTCACTGTTGCCTTTCTATCAGCTCGAACCAGTCTGCCCATTCTCCTCTGACCTCTGGCATCAACAAGGCATTTCCGCCCACAGGACTGCCGCTCACTGGATGTTTTTTCTTTTTCGGACCATTCTCTGTAAACCCTAGAGATGGTTGTGCGTGAAAATCCCAGTAGATCAGCAGTTTCTGAAATACTCAGACCAGCCCTTCTGGCACCAACAACCATGCCACGTTCAAAGGCACTCAAATCACCTTTCTTCCCCATACTGATGCTCGGTTTGAACTGCAGGAGATTGTCTTGACCATGTCTACATGCCTAAATGCACTGAGTTGCCGCCATGTGATTGGCTGATTAGAAATAAAGTGTTAACGAGCAGTTGGACAGGTGTACCTACTAAAGTGGCCGGTGAGTGTATACGAGTATTACATTATGTAGTAAATTATGCAGATGATCTACAGTTGTACATGTCTTTATTTACTGACAGTTTAGATCAGCTATGACRAACACATGAGCATTAAGGTGGCTCTCAAAGGGCCAGGTCTAATTAACTTTGACATTTCGTGTTTAGCTATAGTCACTGCTAATGAAAAATCACTGAGCTCTGCCTGGTTTTTCCTGCATAGAAACAGCATTTTAACACATCCTCTTATAAACACTGAAAAGTACTATGTGTACAACTGACTAATGTGAAATTAATAATACAAAAAATACTATTAAAGGTAAGAGAGTTTTACTCACTGACGAGTTGTGGTAAATAGCTGCCTTCTAGAATTCTAAACTTGGGTAGTCAGAGTTCATCCCACTGTCTAACAGGGAGTTCCCAATTTTACAACTTGTAAGCAGGAAATTCCCACTACCCAGTACAACTGGGCTGCAGCAACTGCCGACTACTTTAGCTGTGGTCCAATAGGGTTTTGAACCCTGTGCAGCTCCACCTAGTGGTGGGATGCCGTCTTTTTGCAAGTAAAATAATCAACATGCATTATGGGAGATGTAGTTCATGATCAGTGCTGGCTTTAAAGCAGCGTACACTTATTTCAGGACATCTTTGACGCTCTTGCAGGCCACATAAACTGCCATGGAAGGTCACATTTGGCCCACGGGCCTTGAGTTTGACACGGGATTTAGAAGATCTGATCTCGTTTACACAATGTATAAAGTATATTAGTTTTTGTATGTTAAACAACTTTTAATAGCTAAACAAAGATAAACGCTCATCTTTGGTGTAAAGACTCAAAAATGGAAAGTTTGCAACATCTTTTGTCACCTGATTATAAATCCATATTTGCAGTTTTTCCCTGTGTTTCCTGTTTTATGCTCTTCTTGGAATGCACATTAGATTGTGGTTTATTCTGTTTTTTAAATAAAGTTTGACTTGATTTGTGGTTGGATCTACTTAGTCATGTGATCCCTCTAAATCTCTGAAGGAACAACTGATTCTGTTATTACACTGGCATTTTAAAACTCTACAAGATGCCCTGAGGCTTTTTTTTTCTCCTGCTGACTAATCGGTGGTGAAGATATAAGACTGAACAAGAGCAAATAACCTCATGGTGTGGCAAAAAGAAAGAAACCCACCCGCTTCCCATCAGCTGGTTCTGCTGCTGGGTTCCACAGTTGATAGGTTTCCGCTCTGCCAACACCCAGCCTTTGTGTGTCCCCGCTGTTTTTGCTTAATTTAATTTATAAAGAGGCCTGAGTATACTCAGYTGGGATGCCATGGATTAAAGACAGGAAGTTGCAGAGAGTGCATTGATGTTTGATGTTCCTCGGCCTTACACACTATTAATTGCATCTTCAGTTCCCCTCGCCATCCCCCATCCATTATCTACCAGGAAAGGACCCTGGAGAYGGGACAAATGGGTTATTTTTGGATGCTGCTCAGTCCTAATACAAATGCACTTCACTCCCTCAGCTCTGTCCTCTGGCACCGGCAAACCTCATCTCCTACATGAATCAGCTCAGTGCACTGATTTGTTTGCTCGGATTTTGTTCTCTTGGCTCGCATCTCAATGAAATGTGGCACTTCCAAGAGACCCGAGCAGCATTAACACCTGTCTAAGACACTCGCCGTCATTTGGTTGTATCTTGTTTCCTGCGGAGAAGGAAACGACGGTGACCTGGACGAGGAGGCTCGCGGTGTTGATTGTTTACTCAGAGATCAGYGGGGTGTCCGTGGTAATGGCCCTTCTCTCTTTTATAACACGGCACTCGGCACATGGAGAAACAATCTAGAGGAAGAGTGCATCAGAGCAGGCACTGTGCCAGGCATTCCAACCATTTACACATTCAGTGAGATCCCAAAGAGCACATATTGTTCCTCTCAGGGAGCAGCTCTGCTTGGACTGGACGTCTGGCACATAAAAGAATCAAATTACAGGAATGACTATGTTGGAACCAAAGCTGATTCATTTCACGTTCACACCAAACCGTTGGACCTGTTTAATCTATGAAGTGCTTAAACAGAAGGTACAGGAAAGGTTAATGATCACCTGCTGCCAAAAGTGTTTGTTTGTTGTGATCTTTTATGAAACATAGAGGAAATTTAATGAAACTCAAAAATTATACGTTAAATTAAATCATAATTACAAGTTACACAGAAATGCTCAAATGCACTGTAGTTTGTAGCTTAAACGTACTGTAGTTTGTAGCTTAAACGTACTGTAGTTTGTAGCTTAAACATACTGTAGTTTGTAGCTTAAACGTACTGTAGTTTGTAGCTTAAACATACTGTAGTTTGTAGCTTAAACATACTGCAGTTTGTAGCTTAAACATACTGCAGTTTGTAGCTTAAACATACTGCAGTTTGTAGCTTAAACATACTGCAGTTTGTAGCTTAAACA